TAAAACCTTGGTGATCAGTTATGACAATGCCTAAGCAAAGCATGGAAGGTGGCACAAACATGCAAACAACACTGCACCAAGTCCAGATCAATATCTGCATGTAACTTAGCATTAGCAGAGGAGTTGGTGCTACAGTGGTGGAGTTTCTTCAAAAACATCCATATGCCCATCATCAGGGTAATCTTGAAGGCTATTTGTCTCCTCCACCTCACCTTTCCAGCAGTCTTCAGAAGTGGCAAGCCATAATGAAAAGGAGAAGGAGCAGCAGCACATGACTGCCATAGATCTGACCATGGAGACGCAGCACAAAGCAAATGTCATGTCCAATTTGAATCATTCAAATTCCTAAAGACTAGACACTCAACAAGGAGAAAATGGGGTGGCTGAGGGCAGAAGAAGGCAGGGTTAGATGAGCATCGGTGTTGCAGTATCATTCAGGGAGGGTTTCTGCTCTTGAGGATGTTTTCCAAAAGTTGCTGAGCTTCTCGGAGTCCATGGGCTGCTGCCACACTGAGGAGTTTCTCCACTTCCCTGAAGGACATGAAACCTTTATCAAGAAAATCCAGGAGGAAGTCCTAAATTCATTCCTAGCTAAATTTTAACTACTCAGGCTTTTATAACAGGAATACAGCTWCTGGATCTGAAAACATCTGTAAAGTTAACTCTCCCCTATTCAGAAAATGATCTGATGTTCCTTATGCTTTTTCCTGTGGTCTGAGCATGTATGTTTTAGGTTTGGTGATTTTTCTCATCTTAGTTGAAGGAGAAATGGCTTTGGAGTTTTTGAAATACCACCCAATACRTGAGTCTGCCTGATCATGCAAAATACAGAGGAGACTGAAACAAAATGCCCTAGCTTCAAATCACYAGGTTTGCCCAAACAATGCTGTTTTGGCCCAATTTAGCTTACAAATGCTCTCTCCAACTTCATTTTTAATTTTCGGGCTTGGAGCAAATGAAAAAAAAATCAAACTGAAACAATACACAAAATCAAACAAGGGCTGGGTTTCACTGTGATGGAATCAGCTGCTGCAGCTTCCTTTAGCTCCAGGACAAGTCACCACAGTGGCTGTACAAAGCACAAGGCAAATTTTCCTTGTCTGTGGGCTCTGCTGGGAACACTGGTGTGCAGTGTGCACATCAGGGCAAGAAACTYATCCCAGGCAGTTTCAAACCAACCCCCAGGCAGTCAACTTCTCATTGACCCCACTGGATGGAAGGAAAGTGAAAAGGGAAGTCCCTTAAAAGACAAAGACAGGCCTTCATAGCAGAAAATTCACATCACTTCAATACCTGTTTCTATACCAGTCTGGGTCTCGTCCCTTGCCTTCGTTGGGAAATCATCATGGAAAAACATACACAGTCAGACCACAGGCATTTTAGGTACTGCAACACCGAATTTGTAAAATGTCATTGGACTAACTAACAATGTTTTTCCATTTCCCAGCAGGGAGGGCTGCATTACTGACAACACAAAAAGAGGGCATTAGAAATGCTGGAGTAGCTTCGTGCATGGAGTACCTACAGCACCAGGKGTCACCCCCTCCCCAAGAGGAGCTGGGAATAAAGCTGTAATGGGAAGGAAGAGGATTAACTGAAGTTACCCTTCTTCAAGTGCCATGGTCATGTTTCTGAGKGTCCCCACCGCCAGGTTGAAGGAGGAGTGGGGATGGCCCTGCCCCGCAGCCTGCCTACAGCCRGGGAGAGACAAGCACAGAAAATGGTAAGTACAGAAGTACAGAAAAAAACCCCTGAGTTTGAATGTTTTCAAGCAAGGTCAAGGTGAGAGCTGTCCTGATTTTGGCTGAGAGAGAGTTCCTTTCCTTCCTAGCAGCTGGTACAGGGCTGTGCTTTGGGTTCAGTGTGAGAATAATGTTGATACCACACTGATGCTTTGGCTGTTGGTGAGCAGTCCTTACCCTAAATCCAGGATTTTTCAGTTTTCCATGCTCTGGCAGTGAGCAGGTGCACAAGAAGCTGGGAGGGAGCACAGGACAGCAGACCCAAACTTGCCAGAGGGATATTCCATACCATGGAGTGTCATGGTGAGTGTATGAACTGGGGGAAGATTGGTCAGGAGCTGCCGATGGCTCATCAGAGATGGGCTGGGCACTGATCAGTGTGAGGAGCAATTGGATTGGGCATCACTTCTGCTTYTCAGGGTTTATTCCTCTCTTTTATTACTATTGTTATTGTTATATTTGACTTTATTTCWAACTGCTCTTATCTCAACCCATGGGTTTTACCTTCTACCGATCTTCCTCCCCAGCCCACAGGACTGGAAGAAGAGGGAARAAATCAGTGAGCAGCTGCAAGGTACTTAGTTGCTAGCTGAGATTAAACCACAACAGAGKAAATAAGGAAGAAGTTATGTATAATTCACTTTTTGAAATGTGACTCCTTTGAAATTTCAGGGCCTGACTTGGGAAACATCTTTATTCAGAAAAGCATGAAGGTTTCTCTAGGTATGGATATATTTAATGATGCCTTCTTGATTTACATCTCCTGCTGTCACAGGCATAGTTTTTTCAACCCTAGAAGTCCTGCAGCCTGGTGCTGTTCTGTGCCTTGAGCAGGCAGAGAAAATAYGCAACATGCCTACTCCTCTCCGCTTGTGTTTTGGGTAGCACAATACAATTAAGGAAAATTCCCTGTCCTTAATCCTTCCCATTCTTCACCAAGAATGGCAGGATTTCAGGGGACGCAGCCCAGGTTCCCATCACAGGTGTAATTCCTATGGGTACCCCAGTGAATGCACACACACAGGTTTGGCTGCCTCATTGACGTGGCAGAATCCTCTCGGGAGTGTGTGCTGAGAGCAGGAAATCAATACACTGCTGCAACTTGATTTCCCATTGCCTCAGCAGCTCCTGGCTTGCTCCCCTCCTGCACTTGTGCATTTTTCCTGCCTCCCATCTGCAGCTGAAACTTCCCCCAAAAGCCACACAGCAGCACCAGCATGCTTCTTGCACTCTCACTGTCGAGATACTTTCTTTCTTCCTGCTGATCAAAAAAAGCCAGCAGTAACAGGTGGGAAAAGTGGAGCAAGTGTACAACCCACAGTGAGAAGTCAGGAGCTCCTGGTGTCCCTGCTGCCACCTGTGAGCCTCCTTCCCACCAGCACAGGACAGCACAGTGCAACCTTCCCCTCAAAGCAATGCCAGCTTTTCCTCCTGCCATACCACAGCAGCCTGTCCCCAGAAGAAGCCAATTTCCCGTGGCAGGAATTGCTTAGGGGTTTGGGGTTTTGGGGTTTGTTTGTTGGTTTTTTTTTTTTTTTTTTGTGTCTCACCTGAACCAGTGCATGGCCATGTCCTCATTTTTTTCCACTCCAACTCCTGGGTGTGAGACAAGGTAGCAAAGTTATAAAATGKAGTGTCCAAAATCCAGCAGTGTGGTGGCACCACAAAGCCACGTTTGTGGTTCTGGCTTATTAAGCCATGGCAATAAGTTAGCAGTGAATTGGAAAAACATTACCTCGCAAATACCTCTGTCCCAGGATGTGCTGGGCATTGGGGTACCCCAGATGAGCATACACGTGAGCCACACGGAAATGGAAATCCTCATAGCACAGTGGGATGTAGAGCAGGAGGAGGCCAGCAGTGATTACAGCTGCCAGCTGTAAAAGAGAGTAACAGTCATCGTGCAAGGAAGAAAATAAGCTGAGGACCAGCTACAGCAAATATTYCATCTGAGCTTTGAAGCCTCCCAAAGCTATTCCCCACAGAGAAATGGGAGGAAAGGCCCACACAACTGCAGAAAATCAAAGTCACCTTTGATAGGGAGCCGGCTCCAGAACTTCCACTGAAGCTGGCAGAAAAAGCACTGCTGAATTCAGTCAGCAGTGCATCAGCTCCCGACTTAATTTCTYCTTTAAGCTCTACTACAGCAAAGGAAATTACAATCATTTAATTTTCTAGTGCTGCTCTTGAAGAAAAGGGGGAAAAATCCTAAGGTGTCGTTAAGCTTTTAGAAACAATTCATCAAAGAKACTTGCCAGAAGCAGCCTCATTCCCCAGGCACCTGGGTACTTTTTGCCCACTACTGCCCACATAATTGTCATACTGATGTGAGCACTCACAGAATCACAAAATGGGTCAGGCTGGAAGGGACCACAGGGGGCTCATCTGGTCCAACCTCCCAGCTCAAGCAGGATCATCCAAAAGCACATGGCACAGGATTGCATGCAGACAGTTCTTGGATACCTCCAGTGAGGGAGACTCCACACCCTCTCTGGGCAATCTGTTCCAGTACTTGTGTCACCTGCACAGAAAAGTTCTTCCTCATGTTCAGATGGAACTTTCCATGCATCAGTTTCTGCTCATGGCCTCTGGTCCTATTGCTTGGCACCAGAGAAGAGCCTGGCTCCATCCTCTTGACATCCTTCATTCAGACACTCACAGATGTTGATGAGTTTCCCTCTCAYTTGTGTCTTCTTGAGGCTGAACAGGCTCAGCTCCCTCAGCCTGTCCTCATCCTTTAATCATCCTTGTTGCCTCCACTGGACTTGCTCCAAGGGCTCCATGTCTCTCTCCCTTTGGGAACATCCTTGGCTCATAAATCCYTTCATTCTGTGTTAGAGTGAGGACATGCCTACACCTGAGAGGAGAATAACCTTGAGTTTGAAACTCTTTTTGCATCCAAGGTATAAATCAGTGAAAAGTCTGATGAACTGCACCAGGAGAAAAAGAAGATGAGAGGCCAGAATTAGACTGTTTGCTTTTTTTGGTGCCAAATTGGATTTTCTTTGTTCAGTGAGCTAGCTATTAGCTTCCAGTGAGAGGAGCTGGCAGCTTATGCATCCACATCTTGGCAGAGKCAGATATTCCTGGCTGGGGGAAGAAGAACATACTCAGGAAAAGGCTGTAGGAGGCCCACGTGGAGCCTCCTGCCTGCACAGGTTACCAGAATCCCTTTGCCTCCCTGCAGGGGAATGCAGCATGTCTCACCAATGGTGCCAGCCCTGCAGAAATTAAAACCCTTCCCTGTCACAGGGGAAGATGGAGACCAGGCACAGWCCCGAGTGGAAGATGCGGCTCTTGGAAAACATCGAGGAGGTAAGTGCTGATCAGTCTCTCTGTGCAACTCTGTGCTGAAAGAAGCAATGCTGGTAGTGTACAATTTGGAGGAGACCGCTAACATCTCATCCTTCAGCACTGTAGCTTTGGAGAAACAGTGATGGACTCTTGGATCTGATGCTCATGAGGACACGATAAGGTGCCTGCAGGCACTCTGCTTTGCCACTGTCCCTCCCTCAGGGATGCAGAAGCAGGGCAGGCACAAGCAGCCCTTTTTACCAGCCCAGCCAAAAACAAGCTCCAGGGCCTCTCCACCTGACCTCAGCTGCTGCAGAACAGGATCATTTTTTCATCTAGGCATGATTTCTTGCTGCAGCTCCTTGTGCATAGTGGCTACAGTATGTGTGTGGGGTTTTGTCAYCATGTCATGTTCAGAATGAGCCAAGGGGACAAGAAACCACTGCAAAGGATGACAAGATGTAAGAACTTTAATAGTGAGGGGTTGTTCTGGCCTCTGTGGATGGTTTGATGCAACTGATACAGAAAAATGCAAAAACCAACTCTCCTCCGTTTTGGGGGGAGAGGAGAGGATATAGCGCTGGAGTATATGCAAACCATTGCAAAGCAAACAATGCATTTAGATCTTGATGTGTTTCTCRGTTGTCTCTAAAGCTGGAGCACAGAGGTGATGTGGGTCTGCAATTCTTTGGTGTTTCATGGGGGCTCCTAAACTCCCACACACCAGCAGGCTGCCAAAAGCTTGTTATCTCCTAATTGAGACCCAGGTCCTGGTTTGGGCCCATCTCTGATTGGGATTAGTGAATTCTCAGGATTAAATGAGCCTARTTAGCTAATTAGGCTAAGTAGATAAAATAGGTAAGCAATAATGACATGCAAATGCCCCAAGATTTGATTTTCTGACTGATAAGCTTAGGGATACAGGAAAACTTTGACACACACCCACACACACCCACTCAGCCTGTGTGGTGCTGCTCTGAAAGTGCTGATGGGTATGTAAATCCCTGTAAGGCAATTGCAAGTCCAAGAGGAAATGCAAGTCATAGATCAAACTGGTTATTGCTGAATGCTTTTGATCTTTCTTAAGAGGAGGAACTGATACTCCTGAAAAAAAACCCATGATGTCTATAAACATGGTGAGAAGAGCTCCTTGCTGGAGACATGGCTGATTGGTACATCCAATAGGTACATCCAATAAACAAAACAGCAAACAAATGACCAAGTAAGTGAAAGGGGAAAGGATATGGTGGGAGAGGTGCTGCAGGTCACAGGGGAAACCTCTGTGCACCACTGCCACGGGGGAACACTGCCACAACAATGTCTGCAATGATCAGCCATCCCCTGCTGGCAGCCTCCACCCTCACTGGCGCCTCTGAGGCAGGTGGCCCAGGAACCTCTGGATGTTCACTTTTTGTCCCAAGATGTTTTTTGAGGGGACTTCTTTGCAGTTGTGTAGGCACTGACAGGTATGGCAAGTACACATTTCACACAGACTTCCTTTAGAAATCCTTCAGATCCCCATTCTCTGAGCATCCCTGATCTGATTTTCTTGCTTGTTTGTTTGTTCAGGGGGTTTTGTGTTTGTTTGGGTTGTTGTTTGGTTGGGTTTTTTTTCTCTATTTTCTTTTCCTAAACAGTGAGCAAAAATGAGACCTATGCATGACAAAAGGCAGGTGCAGAAAGTGGTGGAGTGCCCTGATCCCAGCTCTGGAAGATGGTACCACAAACAGCTGTTGGCTGCCCACCAWCCTCTGAAAAGGCATCTACAAGCGTGCAGCTAGTCCTACACAAGCAGAGACATCAGCAAAAATGCTCATTTCTCCTCCACTGTAGTTACATCTCAGTTTGGGTAAATGTTGTGCTCTTTTAAGTGTCCCCAAGACCAAGAGAGGAGGAAACACAGCTGCTGATGGAGGGGGGGCACGTTGAAGTAAGCTCTGCCTGCAGAAGGGATGAAAGAGGGAGGTGCAAGGTCCCTGGGCTTCTCCCAGGTTGGTTGGTTGGTTGTGTGCATCCCCTCACCCTCAAAGCCAGCACCAGGGACTACAGCACCAACAGTCCCTGAAACCAAGAGCTCCTCAGGGACCCCAGCTGGGGTTTCCCACATCCCCAAATGCTAGCCTACATCAAATACAGGAAGGAACATGCGGAGCCTGCTGCATTGCCCCATACAGAGATGTGAGGCAGATCACTGGCCTGAAACAATCTTTGTAGTCTTGGGTGGCAACTCACAGTTGCTTGTCACACCCTTTTCTTCTGTGGTGACTCACCAGAAAAGACTTTGCATGTTTCCAACCTTGCATGGTTGGGGCTGCTCTAGAGGATGGGGAAGCTCAGTGGTATTGCTGGGGCACTGCTGGAGAACCGGGCAGTGAGGGAGACAAATCTGGCTGTGCACATGTATTCATGCAACCCAGTTCCTACACAGCAGCTTCAGCATCTTGACAGCACCATCACCCACGTGCCAAAGCCAGGTGAACAGGATCAAAATGAGGAATGCCTAAAAATCCCACCCATAACCACTGCACTGGATGATGCCCCATTAATGTGTGCTAGCAAAAGCCTCTGTTCCCCATGCTGAGAAAGGCATTGCAAGCCTTGCAATTTGAGAGGCTGATGTGTGCAAGGAGCTCCTGAGGCTTTGACCCACTGTGGCAGCAGTGGCTTTCAGGGAGGAGGGTGTGATATAGCACCCGCTGCCAGCACTCCCACCCTGAGCCCATCACCACGCTTACCTCCCAGCTGCTCCATGCCAAGGTCAGGGGCTGGGGGTTCCCAGCCCCCAGAGAAGAATTTTCCCCACAGGTATCAGCTCTGCCCCTTCCCTGCCATCGGCACCGTGCTGCAGGCATCGTGTCCCCCATCTCTCCCTCCTGTGGGAAGCCCGAGTGCCTCATTTTAAGCTGCTCTGCTTCCTCTCACCCAGCACCACCACCACCCTGCTGTAACGCTCACCCATCACCATCCCTTAGTTTTGCTCCTGATTTATGGCAGCAGCAGCCCAGCTGTTTYGGTAAGATAAGAGGGATGGATACACATCCCCTTGAAGAGTCACAGAAAAGAAGATGCTCCTGACGAAAGCCTTTCAAACCACCAGTGTTTAACTCTTCCTGTGCTGAGTATTTCTCTTCCTTCAGACTCTCCCAGGTGTTGCAAGGCCTTCCCAGTAAATTGCTGTATTTGTCAAACTTGGTCACTTGATTTTTTTTCTGCCTTTTACATGCATGGATTTTGGACAAACACAGGTGAGACAATTAGAAAAGATACAATGATGTATAATCAGGGAGTTATCAGAACTTACAAAACCCCCACAAAAACTGACAAGATGGGAGGGGTTTTTTAAGCTAGAAAAGAGCTCTCTTGTTAAAGCCAGTCATTTTATAGCTGTAAAATTATGCCTCTACTCACCTGCAGTAAGTTCACCTAGWGAGTTTCACATGCTATATTTTGTTTTGCTTTCACATCTAAGAAAAAAAATCTTTTTTTAACATAAGATCCATAATGCATGTTATCTTTCCTGCTCTGAAGTCCTAGCAGAGGATATTAACTGGATGGCTGCCAAGCGAAGTCCATCTCATGTGAAATGCTGACCTTGCCTGGTCTCCTGATCGCAAAAAATAAAATGTTCTTCCTTTCAATTTTACAGCAAGATAAGTGCTGTCCTTTGGTTTCAACGGCAACCCCACCCCCAGAGAACAAGGATACCTCTTTGGTGGTGATGACTCAGCCTAAAAAACCTTACTGAAGAGGAAACCCGTCATTTTTTCACATTTTATTTCTTATGTTATGCTGCCACCATTGGGACAATTTCATTTGGTCAGTCACAGCCCCATTACAGTTGAAGAGGTTCATTTTTATAGCCCTGGTCAAGTGTGACTCATTTTCACAGTATATGAAATTTAATTGGGCAGTAACAGTCATACTGCAAGATCAAATGCTTCCAAGTACAAACCTCTGCATTAAGGAAACTCGGAAATTTCCAAAACAAGTCCAGCACAGAAGKCCCTTCACTGCAGCAAACAGTGAAGAAGAGATGAAAGAAGGTGAGGAGTCCAATACCTACTTACCCTTTTTTATTTTTTTAGGTACAATCACTAAAACTTACAGATAAATTTTTAAAAACCAAACAAACCAACCTCTTGTGGAGTTATTCTCCTTAAGAATGAGATGTCCTTAGCTATAATCCAAAATTATGGCAGAACTCATGAGTTAAACTTATTGTTATTTGTAAAGATTATTAGAAACAGCTATATTTGTGCTGACACCTTGACTCACTCTGTGAAATTGGCACTTTTCTCAGTATAAAACAGGCCCTARGACTTGCAGTTCTTTGTTGTTGCAGATGACTAAAAATGAGAAYGTTATTATTAATTATGTATTATTCAGTGAGGACTAGGCTGTCTTGTCACAAGCCAGGTGTGGTACAGGATCTCATTCCAGTTGTGAGCTTCAGTTACTTCTCTATAAAACCCAATTTACACCATGAGGAAGAAATTATAGCTGTAGTAGCTGCCTCCTACCACCAAAGAAGAGTTGCATCTCTTCTACTTGCAAGGAAAGGGCAAGCCCCCCCAGTGAATTTTCTATCTGGACTTCCAAAGGGCAGGTAGCATTTCTTTTTTCCTTTCATTTTCACAGAACAAGTTGTGTAGAATAATTTCAGCTCCTGCAAGGAAGCGTTTTGTTTGAAAACCTGGAACAAGCCACCTTCAGGAAAATGCATTTTTCTTCCCATTTACTTTTCACCTTTTCTAGGTGGCTTTCTTAGGAAAAGGAATTGGTATAACAAAGTCTCTACAGCTGGTAAAAGCCTRTTTGAATATAATGTTCTCTGGACAYAGGTATCAGAAGGCAAATTAGATTCACCTYAGAGCTCCCCACCTTGAACATAATTGGAGTAGGTGCTAGCAAATGACTTTGTAGCCAACACAAAATATCCCATAAATATAACTTCAGTTACTACRTTAAACAGAGCTCAGAKATGGGTAAGGGRGAGGACCAAAGCACACAGCAACAAGAGAGTGTTGAGGGATAAGTTCCTGTGTAAGGCAACGGGAAGGATGAGGTTAAGGTGTTCTGGCTGTCACCATCTCTGACAGACTCTCATGTCACCTTGCCTAACTAGCTGTAGTTTCCTTTCAGAGCTGGCTAAACAAGAACAAGATAAAAATCTATTCAGGCTAGTCATTATGGCACTATTAATAGCAAATACAAGGTTGTACCACAAACAGCAGTGTAGATATAGGGGGAGTTCAAGTCTTTCTGAAATCAGTATGCAAGTGTTATCTGCAGAACTATTACAGAGACCTGTGTTGCCTTAAGAGTATAGAAATTAATCAGAAAATAAACCCTCYTGCTTTCCAGCTAGTCCTCCGAGAGACTGGGTGCAGCTAGATTTGATTTTTTTATTATACCCAATTCAGCACTGTAAGTTCAGTTGCATTCAGGAAGATCCCAGATGCACCAAYAGAGTGGGTTACCACCTAAGTCTCATTTCCAATCAGAAATTCATATCTAGTGCATCTTACCAATTAGATACTACAAGTCTGGTGGGGTTCAGAAGAACTTGCATGAACACAGACTCACAAACAGTGCAGTTTATTGGAACAACAGATTGTAGGTTCTGTTAGATTGGCAGCGATCCCCTAGAATCACTAGGGAAAAATTCCCTAGATGTGCAAAATATAAATATTTTGTGCTACGTAGAAGGGTTTTCAGTTATGTTCTGGAGGTGTAAATCTTACCAAAGCGGCATCCCGACTTTGGGAGAGGAGAGGCGAACAAGCCCTCCGACTTGTCTGCAAAGTGGTTTATTCTCATCTCTGCCACAGAGGATTTTGAATACTGAACCATATTTTTTTTTTTGAGAAGTGGAGGTGAGAATGCAGTCACATATTCTGTTAGCTGCCATCACAAAGGAGAGGGGTAGATACATTATACCTAAATGAGTATATTGAAAGTTATAAAAAAAGAGATTACAAAGGCTGTGTGTTTTGGGCAAGGGCAGAACAGAACTGTGAGACCTTAGTGTCACTCTCTTCCACCTGGATTGCAGTGATGAGAATCACCTACAACCTGATAAGATAACTTATCACCCCATCAGCAGAYCATCAAGCCCAGAAATCCCTTCACCCCTTATCTCACACATTATCTCATGGCTGTAGGCCTCACTCCTACCTCACTCCTATGTGTGAAGCTGTTTAGAGATAACAGATTAATAAATGTATCTGTTAAACTGAACAGTTGAAAACATTTATCACAACACACAAATACATCAGCCAGCAGAGAGACCCCGCTGAGCAGAACTGAGTTTCGGGATTATTTGATAGCAATCCTGAAAAGGGGAAGAAGGGAACCTCTCTGCAAGGGGAAAGAACCCCAGGGGCAAATACAAGTCATACTGAAATTCATCTCACCACAAAAACTAGAGTCTAAATTAATTTAAATCGTGGCTCAGAAAAACTCTAACAAACTATATTACTCACCTAAGGGGAGTTAGTTTAAAGTTTAGCATGCTAAAACCTCTGACTAAAAACTGTATGCTAAAAACTAAACTGACTGCTTAGCCATCACCTAAAAAAAAAAAAATTCTCAAGTGCTTTCTGCAGCCTGGCTTTTGAAGTTCCACAGATATGCAGATTTGTATCCTGGGAATACCAAGGCAGAGCTGAGCACCCAGACATGTATCACCCCCTTAAACTTTAGAGAGTGCAGGATCCAGAAACTGTAAAGTTCCGAAGGGTGTGTACAAAGAGCTTTCCAGGAATRCTTCATCAGTCTACTAAAGATGATCTCCACCACTTTCTGCAGAAACTAAGATCCTGCCAACACAACATTTTAAACGAGGAGCACCAGAAAAACTTCATAGTAATAAAGCAGGGGCAGAAGGGCTGGGTAAATGATGCTAAGCCCTTGGCCTTCAAAGGTGAYAAACACTCRGGRAYAGGCTTCAGGTACAAGTATCATYAGGAAGATGAAGGTGYTAAGTGCTCCCTTTGGATCCTCTTRTGAATTTGGGATTGMGGTTGAGTTATTTGTGCTCTCAGCTGGGTCTGAATTTGCTTTGGGATTGTTCCAGTGTACCTAAGTTTCAATTTGTCTCTTTAAATAGCGGAGAGGGGAGTTCAGGTTCTGCTTGTTAGAGAGTGCTGTTAGCTGGTACAGGGTGATCTGAGGCTAGTTTCATGTACTCTACCTGACACGTCCCTCACCTGAGCTGTATGGTAAATATACATCCTTGCTTTAGCTTAACCTTTGGCGTTAGGCTGCCTTGCCTGTGTAATCCCAGCTGTAAGGAGCTCGGAGCAGCTGGAAGTGTGCGGCCAAAGTAAGCCCTCGGGAAAGTTTGCGTGTGAACCAGGGAATGTCTGTGGCAGGGATTATCTCCATCTCATAGGAGGCCTTTTTTTTCCTCGTCCTAGCACTTCTGGAGACAGAAACCAAAGAGAAAAATAATTATTTTCTTCCTACATMTTGAATGCTCTTCCACAGGGGTCTTACAGCCCACAACTTGTTCCCTGTTCCTGTAAGGTAAAGAGCAAATGGATCCTTGATTTTGAACAGAAATCGTTTTTAAACAGCATGCTGAATGAAATCATAACTTCTGCAGGCTTTTCTAAAATCTTGAGGTTTGCTTTTAAACTTAAAAAAAAACCCAAATCCTTCAAACCTTCTCCTCTTCTTTCTTGCTGAAGAATATAAACAGCTGATGCTTCAAATAGACAGAAGCACCAGACAGTTACATAAAAACACACTGCCAGATCCCTGCATGTAGGAGTGTCTGCTCTCAATTCAGTCCTGCCTCTCTGTGAATGTGCATGGAAGTAGGTCTCCCCACCCTGAGGCGGTAGCAGCTGGGACTAAATGCCCAAAAGAACCTGGGTATCAAAGGCATTGATGTGGCCTTAGGCTGCGTGGAGGTTTGAGGRTCCTTTGTAGCCAGGGGGTCAAGTATTTGCAGTCAGATATTGAAGAGCCACAAAGTTTGAAACCTTCAGGAGTTCCATGAACAGCTCTAAAGACCTTTAAGTGAAGCTCTAGGGATCAGCACATATCCTCCTGTCCTAGAGCTCTGAGTGTTTCAATTGTTGTAGACCTGAGTGAAGTGGAGAAGTTATGACGAGGACAGAATCCTCATGAGAACACTTTATGCCCTCAGCCCTACCTCCCATGAAATGCCAGGCTGTGAGAGTATTCATTGTGCTCAGGACCCTTCGATATCAATGTAGAGGAAATACACGCTACACCTACTAAAGTGGTGGGTTTGTGATCAGATTGGTAAAGTGCTTGACAGACCCAGCTACTCTTCCCTCTGAAGAGCATTTCAGCCATCCAGGGGACAGGGCTTCTGAAGAACAGCAAATCTCTCAGATCACACAGACTTAAAGTGTTCTGGAAGAGCACAGTGAATGGTTTCTTTTCCAARGTTGAAAGAATTGGATTAACCAGGAACACCCTCAACTGAGATCTCAGGTTAAAAGGTAACGTACAAAAAAAAATGGCACCCCATAAAACCAAGCGTGTTAAGGCTTCATTTTAGGGAAACACAGGCAGGGATTTGAAGCGCCCAAGCTGAAGAAATCTACACTGCATTAATTGTTACACTAGGATCAGAATTCATGATAAACTGCTTTTAACTGGGGTTTGTGAAATATCAGGCAACACGAAGGGATCTGAGGCTGAGTGGCCCTAGGTAACGGCATATCCCCTGCTTAAGACTGMTGTAAAAATAAAAATCAGTGCACGTGTGTGAAGTTGCTCATACTTCCCCACCCCCAAAACCTTGAGGAGTTGATGTGAGCTTTATTTGACGCCCCTGCGCAGCCTCATGTCCYCGCTAAGGCAGTGCAATAGCCCCTCATCCCAAATCCGGGACATAATCTCCTTCAGGCTGCTCCTGAGGCGCTTTGMACACAAAGCCAATTAACTCCATTGYAGAAAGAACGCTTYGCMGGCAGYGCGGCGGCTCTGGAGCGATCTGAGCACACAGGCGAGGCTCGCTGCCGGAGCWGGACGGGCGATACACAACCCCGGGTAAATGAGTGCAGTGACTCTCGGCAGGGCATCTCCCGCCAGTGAAACACTCTCCACAGAGCCCCATCCCCAGCACGGGGCGCCGAGGCGGCCGAAACGGCCCGACCGAGCGGGACAGGACGGAGCCACCCCCTCAGCCCTCAGCCCTCAGCGCGCCTGCCCCCTTCGCTGGGGGCGGGGCCTCTCCCGCGCCTCGCTGCGCGCGGCCGGCCCCGCCCCTCCCTCCCCGCCATTGGTTGTCGCTGGGGCAGAGCGGCCATCCCGCCCGCGGCCATTGGCTGGCGGCGAGGCCGGGGTTCCCGGATGCGGCCGCGCGGTGCCGATATAAAGGGCCGGTGGAAGGCGGGAGCGGGCGCAGTTTGAATCGCGGCGGATCAGGGTAGGTTGGTGCTGTTGTCCGGGCTCGGTGTGTACGGGACGCTCTGTGCCTCAGCCTTCCC